GCATCTCGAGCCTGACGAGCGCATTCGTGCTCGATGTCCCGTCAGCGACATCCTCCATCGCCTTTTCTGCTCCACTGTTGCGCTAGGCGGCGGCGGGCGTGGGCGCAGGGGTTTCCTCTTGTCGACAACTGTCGTCTGTGGTTCGGTTGTCTCCGCTTCGACATCTCGTCTCTGCGTCATGCGTCAGCAATAGGCCACCGCCGTTTGCGCTGAGCCCTTGTCGAACAGTTGCGCCATCGTGTGTGCTTCGCCGTCGTCGAAGAACTGCGCCTTCTCGAAGAACTGTGAGCCATCAAAGAGCAGCGCCATCGTGTGCGTTGTGCCCTCTTCAAGGTAAAGTGCTATTCTGCCTGCCCTTGTGTCAGGCATGTTTGCCGGCCCATGGGAGCGGCCGCGTCGCGCCACCTGTTTCAAGTTGCGGGGACGGAGGGAAAGGATGTCGGTGACATTGGGCCACATGGTTTCTGTGTCCCCTTCTGATTCCCGCTCGTTCTTTCCTCGCGAGCGGCCCCGTGATTCTTGCTTGCCATCATCATCATCATCATCGCCCCCATCATCACCATCATCGTCGCCACCACCATCAGCGTCATCATCTTCATCATCATCATCATCATCATCATCATCATCACCATCATTGTCATCGTGATCATCATCATCTTCATCAACATCATCTTCATCAACATCATCATCATCATCACCAACATCATCATCATCATCACCAACCTCGTCAACGTCATCAACATCGTCATCATCATCGACATCATCATCAACATCATCAACGTCATCAACAACATCATCATCATCAGCGGCATCGTTGTCGTCATCAAAATCACCACCATCGTCCGCTCCGTTGTCATCGCCATCATCAACATCGTCATCATCGTCGTCATCATCGTCATCATCATCATCGTCGTCATCACAATCATCATCATCACGAACATCATCATCGACATCATCATCGTCATCAACATCGTCATCATCGTCAGTGACATCGTCGCCCAGATCAACATCACCACCGTAATCGTCACCATCATCGTGTTCATCACCGTCGTCATCATTATCATCATGTTGTGCCACGTTTCGCAAGTGGCTGGGATGGCGGGAACGGATGACGTGGACATCGGGGCACACGGTTTGTGTGTCCCGTTCTGCTTCTCTCTCATTCGTTACACGCGACCGCCCCCACGACTCTTGTTTGGCTTGGCATTGAAGAAAAACTATCGTTGATCACAAGCTGGACATTGCAAACCACTCCCGCGCGGTCGAGGCAAACACGAAATCGCCTATTCCCAGCGGAACACGAAACCCCTTCGAAACACTGCCCTCGCTCGTTTGCTGTTCTCAACAAAGAGATTAGAGGTTGGTTATCACAAAGGAGACGCATGGGCTGCGCGCGACCGCTGTTGGTACTAAGCGTCGCGCGGTGGCCACGGTGGGAAGGATGTCCGCCGTCCACGTGGCGTGCAGTGAAAGGTAAGGTATTCATAAACAAGAGGGGGTCGTCGTTCCGTGTTCGTGTTCTCGCCGCAACAATTGAGCCTCCCTCCCCGAAGAGACTATGGCGTCAATCCGGGAGAGTTGCTGTCGTCTCCATCCCGCGCACACAACGTGCGCATGATCCACCATAGAGGCCATGGATGTTGAGCGCGCACTCCTGGCGCTGGTCGTGAGGGATGCAATATCGCATTCCGCACGACAAATGCCAGGACTATGCGCGCAACATCCGCGGGCTCCAGAATGAAGAATGCACACGTTGCGTGCGCGCGATGGAGAACGTCTGCGCCGCTCGCTGCAATGGCGATGGCATTTCTTCGGCGTCAGCGCCGCATGTTTCGTGACGACAACCTTGACACGAAAACATGGCCTCGTTCAGTAACGAACAATCCGGCCGCCTCCGGGAAACGTCTCAGTCATCAGGGCATGGGGGGTCGCCATTGTCACCGCAAGCTCGAAACCAACAACAGCCAAACGAAAAACGGCGCGTGGCGTGTGGTTGCCTGGCGAGATGGGAAGTTCGGATCCCGGCGAACTACAACAATCATGCGCAGTGCTCTCGCGAAAGCAGCAATCTGTTGCCGTCGCGCGGCCGCAGGGAAAGCACGCGCAGGTGCGAAAATAACGCATGATTGCTGTAGTTCGCCGGGATCCGAAGTTCCCATTTTTTTGGCGGTTGCTGGTTTCACGTTCGCAGTCACAATGCCATCCCGGGTTGCCCTGATGACTACGTTTTGCGGGACACAGTACCCATCTTTCGGGCGTGGGGTCGATAGTTCATAACGCGATGCCAGTTTTCAGCTTGCGACGAAGTTCGGATCCCGACGGACTTGCAATCTGAAGCATGCGAAGTCGCGGGCTGCTCGGATGATTATTGTTGTTTCGACCGCGTCGCTGAAATAAGACGCTTAAGGTTTGCATGGATCTTTTCAGAGTCCTGGTTGCATGACTGTTCTTTCGTTAACGTTGCCGCAAAAAAAAAAAGTCCTACCAACGGAACCCCAGCAAAAACAAAGTGTTTAATGCTCCCGGTCGAACGCGGCAACCGATCTGAAGTTCGGATCCGGGCGAACTTCGTGGTTGGCACCTGTACGTGGTCCCATGAACCTGACTCTGGAACCTCCCATTGCCCGACTGCAAGATCGCCTTGTCTGCGGTACTAATCGGGGGTCCACCAGCCGGGGTCTTTTTTTTTTTGTGCTTGCTGTCATTGTCATCAAGGATAGCAACATTTGCGACTGGATCGCTGCAAGTGCTCGCTTTGTCGATAAGGAGAATCGGGGTCCATGGGGGTCTATTGGGGGCCGCACTACGCCAATTTCCGACGTGGTGCACCTGCGACGACCATTTCTGTTATGCGTACTCTGTTGGAACAAACACTTGTGAGCAGCAGCAGGGCCTCCCTGAACATGCAGCCAAGCCTAGCGTTCCTTCTGTGCAATTCCACACCGGTCATCCAAATATCCGTCGTCCCCCGCACAAACCGGTTTCTGGCCAGTCCAGCAAGCGCCAAGTTCGGATCCCGGCGGACTTTGAGGTCCCACGTAAATTTAACCGCCGTTTTCGACGGCCACGACTGTTGAGTGCGTTCTGATTACCAGAGGCCTCTCGGCACGCAAAACTGCTCGCATGAGGCCTGGAGCTTCAACTGTGAGTTGATTGCGCGAGGACTGTGGGTGCGAAAAATTGCTCACCTTCTGAGATGCCCTTCGAGGGGTTTGTGGGGGTTGCCGACGGTGATAGCGGCCGTGTCCCTTGTCTGTGTGCCGTCGATCTTTGTTGCCCCCAGAGGGTTTTGACTGTCCCGGTGCGCGTATTCTTGTCGCACACATGCTCGTGTTTCTGCGTGGTTTCCGGTTCGCGCTTTCACACGTCAACGTTACCGGCGTGCGAATCGGGGGTCGCCTTGTCGAATGGCCGAATCGGGGTTTGGAAGGGTTGCAGGGGGGGTCTTTCATCAGTTTCTACATTTTTCTTGTCTGCGCGGTTGGGATGTCCGATCTCGATGAACTCTTGCACTAGGGGTCAGTTTGGGGTCGCGCTGCGCCCGATTTCGTGGTGGTGCATCCGCCGCTGCCCTTTGCTCTACGCGTGCTGACGTTCAACGACAGCTCGAGAGTGGCAGAGCCTTCCTTCTTTTCGGCCAAGCATAGCGTTCCTTGTGTGCACCCGCTGGCGCTCCGTTCCACTGACACCAGCCGCACAAAAACAAGTTCCTTGCTACTCCAGCACCGGCCAAATTCGGATCCCGAAGGACTTCGAGGCGCCACATGAATCTGACCGTTGTTTTCAACGGCTTGGACTTCTCCGTCCGTCTTCAATGCCGGCGGCATGGTATTGCGCAAAATTGTTCGCCTTGTAAGTTGCCCTGAAAGGGGTTTATTGGGGTTGACGACGGTCTCGCTGGCTGGGTCCATTTCCGGTGTGCCATGGATCTTCGTTCATCGGCGCCCCAAAATGCGGTGTGCCCGAGCAACGCCTGCTTCTGTGCAAATGCCATCCGCCCGTTACAAATGCAGGCGAATCCACCAAGTTCGGATCCTGGCGGACTTCGAGGATCGACGCGAATCTATCCGTCCTTTGCGTGGCGCCTGGAGCTTCGAGTGTGAGTTGATTGTGACAGGACTGTGGGTGCGAGAGATTGCTCGCCCTCTGAAATGCCTTTCAAGGGGTTCATGGGGGTTGCCGAAAATAAGGGACACGACCGTTGTCACCGCCGGCAACCCACATTAACCCCTTCGAGGGGATTTATGAAGGCGAGCACTTTTTCACGCCCACGATCTTTGTTGCCCCCCATGGTTTTTGACCGTCGCGGTGTGCGAAGTCTTGTCGCAGAATCGGGGGTCGCCTTCTCGACCGGCCGAATCAATGTTTGGAAGGGTTGAAGGGGGGATCTTTCATCCTTTTCTACATTTTTCTTGTCTACGCAGTGGGGATGTCCGAGTTCGATAAGCTCTTGCGCTAGTACCTGTGAATGGAAAACTGCACGAGCTCGCTTAGACCATGGTGAGAATCGAGTTTATGGGGGTCAGTTTGGGGTCGCGCTGCGCCGAATTGTGTGGTAGTGCATCCACCACTACCCTTTGTTCTGCGCGTGCTATCGTTCACCGGCAACAGAGCCTTCCTTCTGTTCGCCCAAACATAGCGTTCCTTGTGTGCACCCACTGGCGCTACCTTCCACTGACACAAGCCGCGCGAAAAGAGGTTCCTTGCTACTCCTGCACCCGCCAAATTCGGATCCCGGCGAACTTAGAGGCTTCCCATAAATCTGACCATTATTTTCAACAGCTTGGACTGCCCAGTCCGTCTTCAATGCCGGCGGCCTGGTAGTGTGGAAAAGTGCTCGCCTTGTGAGTTGCCCTGAAAGGGGTTTATTGGGGTTGACGACGGTGTCACTGGTCGGGTGCATTTCTGGTGTGCCGTGGATCTTCGTTCATCGACGCCCTGAAATGCTGTGCAGCCGAGCATCGCCTGCTTCTGTGCAAACGCCATCCACCCGTTCCAATACCTGCAGCCGCGCGAAAACTTGTTACTCGCTGCAGGCAAATCCGCCAAGTTCGGATCCTGGCGGACTTTGAGGATCGACGCAAATCTATCCGTCCTCCGCATGGCGGCTGGAGCTTCGACTGTGAGTTGATTGCGAGAGGACTGCGGGTGCGAGAAATTGCTCGCCCTATGAAATGCCCTTGAAGGGGTTTATGGGGGTTGCCGAAAATAAGGGATACGACCGTTGTCACCGACGGCAACCCCCATAAACCCCTTCAAGGGCATTTTAGAAGGCGAGCAATTTTTCGCACCCACGATCTTTTCTGCCCCCCCAAGGGTTTTGACCGTCGCGGTGAGCGGAGTCTTGACGCAGACATGCTTGTGTTTCTGCGTGCTGTCCGGTTCGCGCTGTCGCACGTGGACGTTCCCGGTGCGCGAATCGGGGATCGCCTTCTCGACTGGCCGAATCAATGTTTGGAAGGGTTGAAGGGGGGATCTTTCATCCTTTTCTGCATTTTTTTTGTCTGCGCAGTGGAGATGTCCGTGTTCGATAGCTATTGCACTAGTGGCAGCGAATGGAACACCACACGAGCTCGCTTAGGCGATGGTGAGAATCGGTGTTTATAGGGGTCTTTTTGGGGTCGCGCTGCACCGAATTGTGTGGTGGTGCATCCACCACTACCCTTTGTTCTGCGCGTGCTATCGTTCATCGACAACAGAGCCTTCCTTCTGTTCGCCCAAACATAACGTTCCTTATGTGCACCCACTGGAGCTACCTTCCACTGACACAAGCCGCGCGAAAACAGGTTCCTTGCTACTCCTGCACCCTCCAAATTTGGATCCCGGCGAACTTAGAGGCTCCCCGTAAATCTGACCGTTATTTTCAACGGCTTGGACTGCCCAGTCCGTCTTCAATGCCGGCGACCTGGTAGTGCGGAAAAGTGTTCGCCTTGTAAGTTGCCCTGAAAGGGGTTTATTGGGGTTGATGACGGTGTCACTGGACGGGTGCATTTCCGGTGTGCCGTGGATCTTCGTTCATTGCCGCCCCGAAATGCGGTGCGGCCGAGCATCGCCTGCTTCTGTGCAAACGCCATCCACCCGTTCCAATACCTGCAGCCACGCGAAAACCTGTTACTCGCTGCAAACAAATCCGCCAAGTTCGGATTCTGGCGGACTTTGAGGATCGACGCAAATCTATTCGTCCTTCGCATGGCGCCTAGAGCTTCAAATGTCAGTTGATTGCGAGAGGACTGCGGGTGTGAGAAATTGCTCGCCCTCTGGAATGCCCTTGAAGGGGTTCATGGGGGTTGCCGAAAGCAAGGGACACGACCGTTGTCACCGTCGGCAACCCCATAAACCCCTTCAAGGGCATTTCAGAAGGCGAGCAATTTTTCGCACCCACGATCTTTTCTGCCCCCCAAGGGTTTTGGCCGTCGCAGTGTGCAGAGTCTTGACGCAGACATGCTTGTGTTTCTGCGTGCTGTCCGGTTCGCGCTGTCGCACATCGACATTCCCGGCGCGCGAATCGATGGTCACTATTGCACTAGTGCCAGCGAATGGAGCACCGCATGAGCTCGCTTAGACGATGGTGAGAATCGGTGTTTATAGGGGTCTGTTTTGGGTCGCGCTACGCCGAATTATGTGGTGGTGCATCCACCACTACCCTTTGTTCTGCGCGTGCTATCGTTCACCGACAATAGAGTCTTCCTTCTGTTCGCCCAAACATAGCATTCCTTGTGTGCACCCATTGGCGCTACCTTCCACTGACACAAGCCACGCGAAAACAGGTTCCTTGCTACTCCTGCACCCGCCAAATTCGGATCCCGGCGAACTTTTTGCCCTCAACGCGTAAATCTGACTGTGCTTACAGTTTGCTCCGCTGTTTTGCAGGGTGTGGACACGAATTTGAATGACCCGTTCGACCCGCACAAGAGAGAATAGTCCATTGCGCTGACGGGAATCGCATCCGCTGCACCGACGGTTGCATGACGGCGCCGAAAAAGGCTCGGCGAACGGCCGCATGAACCGGGCTATGGAAATTAAACAATCCGTCGACTTCCATTGCCAGCTACAACACCTGGAGTTGGCCCCGACGACCTCTTCGGACAGTTCGCCGTTCCAACAGTCAGCTGCGGATTTCCCCAGAAAACGAAATCTCAACAGATATCGATGTGCCACATGGCCCAAACCACTGAAAATATTATATCCTTTTAGTATTAATTGACCATTTTTCCAAGTACATCGAGGTCTATCCCTGTAGGACCCGCAAGGCCGCAGAAATAGCCATGTACATCGATCGGTTCCTCTATACTCATCTAGATACGGGAGAAATTTTTACCGACAATGGGTCCGAATTTAAGGGACAAGTAGAGGAGCTGCTTGCACGAAGGGGCGTCACGCTCCGACATACGGCACCGCACGTGTCCCAGTCAAACAGGTTGGCTGAGAATGCCAACCGCATGATTAAAACCGCCCTTCGCCGGCATTTAGCGGCACACGACACGCGTCCGTGGCCCGAGATCGTATATCAGATCGTCAGGATCCACCGGGCCACCCCTCACGAATCCACGGGGTTTACCCCCTTTCAGCTTCGTACTAATAGCCTCCCCTGTGTCGACTACCGGGGTAACTCGGAAATTGCCGAAGCAGGGGGTAGAGACACACGTACAACCCTCAAGGCCAAGGCCAAAAGGTACACGGAATTAATGGAGCGGGTCGTCCCGAAGCTGGCCCGAAAAAGGCAAAGGATGACCGATCTGGCCCACGGTAGGCAGGTCCGTAGCTACGAGGCCCGGAATGAAAATGTTGGGCCCCAGCATCAATATAAATCAGGGGCCCGAGTAGAGGTGACGTGGACGCAGACCAGCGAGCATCCTGCGTGGATCGAAAATTTGGAGTTGCTGATCGTCCAAGCTTGGAGGACTAACGTCGAAGGCGATCTTCTCGGCTTTTTCTCTGGATCGATACGGCCGGGCCGCCGCCAGTTCATTGCACAGGAGCTCATCGCGCCGATCGAAGGGACGCTCTACTTCCGTTGGTACTATCGTGTTTGGTCCTTGTACTGGGGCGCGATCAGCGGCACAGACCAGACAGTTGGCGACAATGTATCTGACATCATCTTGTATATTGTACCAGAACCATAGGTTCTGGTCTATTGTTGCCTCCGTGACACGTATCGCGAAATGAGCTGCCTATTCTTCGTGAGCCGATCGGATCCAATCATATCTCTGGAATGGATGAGGAACCGTCAACCACGAACCCGATCCGTCAGTTTTACGCTTCTCCAAATGACCGTTGATCCACCGATAGTCTCGAGATCTCTCGGTTGCCCTACGTCTGTCGTGTTTGGTGAGGTGTCCCAATGATAATCCCGCTAATTTTGCCAATAAAATTTTATCCGTCCAAACCTCCGCTCGTAGGTATTTTTCGTCGTATTCAGGACCGTCCGTATGGGCGGCCTCGAATCGAACCTCCGTGGGGAGTTCGTTCGTTCTACACAGGGGGCATCTCCATTCCTTGCTACTAGTCCGATATCAAACGCAGGCCCCGTGCGCACGATTGACACACGTGGCACATTCTACCCAATCGACAAACCCAGTTTCGAAAGGATGACATTCGACCCCATAAACCCATGCAGTACACGTACAAAAATAGCAGAATTTATCGGGGAGGGTAGCAAAGAAAGTTGAAGAAGTGAGAGGGGCAGAATTAGTAGGAGAGGAAGGGGTCGCAGAGATAGGTGGGGTAGTCATGATGACAGAGGAGGAGACATGGGACCGAATTGCGGAGAGGGTAGAATCAGTCAAATTGATCCTCGTGTCACTTACTGCTTGGACAAGATCTCCACTTGGCCGTACCGAGGTCCAACCTCCTGTTCAGGTTCGTTCCACAGAATCACCTCCTCACTTTTCAGAACTTTGTCAGGTCAGTGCAGTCATGTAAGTCCG